TCAACGTAAGCAAAAATTAAGCCAACATGATAAATAAACTCAATTTACTAAACTACTTATAGTTTTCTAATATATTTTTGCAGATTTATTTTCCTTTTAGCCAGCACATTCTCTTGCTTCTCAATAGTCACAGAACGATTGGAGGGTGTCTGGAATCGAAGCGTTGTCCAAGGTATTAATTTTTTAATTAGACTCCAAAATCGACTTTACGGTTATTCCTTTGCCTTTGTATATTTTATCACAGTAATGTGAATATAAATACGTAATAGGGGTCAGAACAGAAGAAATTCTACTGTCTCACATTGTTGTTGGTAGTATCATCACAGTTATCCAAAGCATTACGTTGATACTCATATTCTTCCCTATATGGGGTTTGGAATGTAAAGGATCGATATTCGCTGTAATCCTCCTTATGTTTCTCAGCGGGTTTTGTGGATTGATGTACGGTGAGTATTCCACTCGTTTTTTGTATATCGAAAAGTTTACAGCAGAGGTTCAGAAACTGATGAAAATTACATTGATTGTTTGTGTTAATGTATTTTTAGAAACAAGAGTGGTAATTATATATCGCCAGAAACTCGAAACCAAATTTTCTTAAGTTTTACGCGATTTTTAGAATTTCCCTTTTCCCTGTATATAATTACCACTCTTGTTTCTTAACACACCATCGACCTTAGATAATGGTGTCCAACAACTGATGTTATTAATTTATTAATTATTACACCAAGGACCAAAAACTTGGTTTCCTCCGTTAGGGGGAATGGGATCAGGGGGAGGGAAGGGAAAAGGGAAATTCTAAAAATCGCGTGTCGACAGGTTATTGTGCGGTCGACAATCCGTATCGGCGCACAGTTTCTGAAACGTCGAAATACACGTGTAAATAACATCTTAAAATTATATACTTGTTATTGCGAATAGTATTATCACAGCCCCGGTGGTCGAGCTGGCTAAGACGCCCGTCACGGATTGTAGGGAGGTCCCAGGTTCGAATCCTGGCTGGGGTAATATTTTTCGCAATAAAAATTTTAATAGTCTGATACGGTCAACAAAAATCACTATAGCCAGTGTAGGTCGTTAAAACTTAAGAAAATATGTATTTTTAGGTTTCATTATCTCTGTGTTTTGCACAAATATGTATGCGGTATGCTTTGCTTCAGCCGGAAGTTTTTTGCCGATGGCACTAATGAATGGTGAGATTTTAATCTTTCTGTTTCTCAAAAATTATAGTTCTTACTTGAATTTATTTATTAAGTTAATTTTAAAATTAAAGTTCTTCAGTACGTAACGATATATAAACAGTTCGCCTAGTAAATAGTAATACAGAAAATTTTACAAAAAGAAAATGTCAACAGCAATATGTATAGTCAACAACATTAACAACAACAATATACAGCGCAGATTTATTTTATTACGTTAATGAAAGTTTTATTAATATACAAATTTGACAAAATTGTAGGATCGTTTTGGCCATTGGAGGGAATGCCGAAAGTGCTTTACTGGATTAGTTGCCTATTGCCAACTACATTGCCCTGCATATCTGTGAGAGGAATTATTTTCAAAGGATCTTCCATATCTGATTCTGAAGTTTATATTGGCGTTTTAATATCATTAGGATGGATAATGCTGTTTTTCGTCGTAACTCTACTTGGTATAAGAATGAAATCCTAGTAATATTATCAAGGAATTTAAAAAAGTTTTCAGTCTACACCATAAGAAAAGAGTCTTGCATTGTCTACAGAGTACAGTAGACAAATATACAGAGTGCGCCTTTAAAAGTCTTATTGATTTATATCGTTACAACTGTTTCAAGACACCCGGTATCCTGGTGGACTGCCTGGATACCGTCGCGTAGCGGTTCATTTCGGAAAACATCACGTTTATCAAATTAAGTGAATCACGAGACACGGTAGTGTCTCGCGCCAAGTATAAGCGTAGCTAGAACGCGCTCGCGAGACCGACCGTGTAGTTTACGCGAGTATATGACAGGCCCTCAAATTTTCGGATCTCAACAACGGCTGACCCGATGAACTTCTAAGTGCGCTTAAAAATGCATAATTTTATTTCAAAAAGTCACGTCTTTGAGACTCAATATGCAATACTTGAATTTTTTATTATACCCTTAAAAGTTTTCTAAAATAATTATATGTAATCTATAAACTGAATAAAAACTAATAAAAACAGGACCAATAAAAAATTTGATTACCGTGATAACAGACTTACAGATGATTCCAATATGACGTGTTACAAAGTTTGTTTTCGAAATTGTGTTGAAATTGTTTTATCCTTATGATACCTTCTTAGATTTACCATTTCGGAAATAGCCGCATTTAGGATACTAAATAACAATTAGTGAGCACACTTTGTAATTCTGTTACAGCTTGTGCATGTTCTACTTTGCGACAAACAGGATGTTGACGTTTTCAATGTGCAATTTTTCTTTTTTCAATATATCACAAATTACAATTCTACGTAAAAAAAGCAAAAACCATACTTCGCATACGTGAAATACATCTTTACATTTATTATACATATACATACAATTAAATAATCGGAATATACCCACACGCAAAGCGATGTTTTATTTAAACGTTATG